CTTCTGCGAGGGCTGCAACAAGTGCTAGCATTTACTTTCATCAACTACCTTTAAATGGCATTTTAAGATTTTCTCTATGTGAAACATGATATTCGCAAGCGCATGAAGCTGCACAATATACTTCAGATCTGGAGTTTCAATGAGCAATCTGATTTTTCCCCAAATGTGTAATTTCTCTTTACTATCCTTCAGAACTAAGAGAAGCTCAAAAGGATATCCTAAGCTCTATAGAGTGATCTCTCTCCTATTGCCACAATCACAGGATTAGAAGTGTCCTTCTGATACCGGAGTCTTTACACCATCTTCAGCTTTGCCTCTGCAGCTGCAGACCTCACCTTCACAGGAAAGGTTAACCAATCATGCATTTGTAATCCCAACACAAGTGGCAATTCTTCACCTCCAATTTAGCTTATAACATTGGGAAAATAGCTGAAGATAAACTCACAGATAAACTTATGCACAGATGAAGTGTGCATAGAGAAATTTATGCGAAGTCAGCTTGTAAAATTTTTCTGTTTCCAAGGGTTTAGTGAGAATCCCAGTGCCTTCTCACGTACTTAACATATTTTCCACATTTTTAAAGCAGACTAAAGGCAGTGCCTTGAATTTCCTAAAGGAACATATCTTCCTCAGTAGCCCAAATAAAAACATCCAATCTTTCTCAAAACTCAAAAAGTAGGCGATGCCAGTGTTCTCCCTTGCAGCAGAAAGTTTACTTTCTGTAAAACTTGACCAATTCCAAATATTTGAAAAACAATTACAAAGTCACCGTATGGATATTTGCCTCCCTTTATCAGAGCCACAATAAGGTAGTTGCTATGCTTTTTCTAAGTACTGAATCTGCAAGGCAAAAGGTGTATGAAATAGTTCCCAAAATAAAGCCATGCTCCAAGTAGAATAATGGTAAACTTAAGAGAGTTAAAATTCATTAGTGTACATAAAAGCACTACAGACCCACCCTAGTTAAACTTCCTGAACATAAGTCTAAATATACCACCTGAGATCCCAGCATAATTAACAAGACTGTTAAACAGTATTTCCCCTGACTTAGCTATGATCACCTATAAAAAAAGGCCACAATATTCAGGCTGCTGTATACCTGTTTCACTGAGATAGAGTGGAATCTTGTAATAGAGAAAAATTAAAGTTCCTTTACGTAGACTGAGAAATCTCAAGTTTCTTGGAGAATATCTAAACATTTTGCCTAAGTGGCTCATCACAAGTAAAACAGAAAAACTTTGCTGTGTACTGCACTGAGGATATCAGGAAAAATTCCTTCACTGAAAAGGTGGTCAGGCATTGGTACAGGCTGCCTGAGGAAGTGGTGGTCACCATCCCTGGAAGTGTTCAAAAAACATGTGGCACTTGGGGACATGGTTTAGTAGTAAAGATAGCAGCATTAGGTTAACAGCTGGACTTGATCTTGGAGGTCTTTTCCAACTTTACATTTCTGTGATTTCTTGGGAAGTATCTATGCATTTTATATCCATCAGTAAAACACACACACCAACTACAACAATAACTCTGTGAAACTTCATTACAACAGAGTATTACCAAAAGTGAGTCGACTGTATGTCTCCTGTGTTTTTAAAGACCATTAATTCTACCATTTTGCTAATGTAATTAAGCATTCAGTTCTACGTTTTTGTTCAGTGGTGATGGATTGCTGAGTACGATAGTAAACAGTCAAAAGCAACTTGTTTGCAGCTAATTAAAAAAAAAAAATAAATGTACCACGCATTCAACCATGAATCATTTGGGTTTTTAACTTATGGTTACTCTAAGCTCAAATCAAATCCCCCTCCACTCCTTGATATGAAACAAGACCTTTTTTAAAAGGATATTTTCTTTCCCATCTCACCAACATGCTTCAAACACACCACAACACATCAAAAGGCAAGAGTCTTTACAAGGACAACTTGAACAGCATAGCACATGTGCCTTCTGCGCTGGTTTTGGCTGGGTTGGAGCTAATTTTCTTTAAAGTACCAAGTATGGGGCTGGGTTTTGTACTTGTGCTGAAAACAGATAACACAGAGAAAAGCTCGTGCAGGAGCAGCAGCATTCTGGCAGGACCTGTGGGCTCCAGAGAGGAGCCCATGCTGGAGCAGGTTTGGTGGCTTGATTTCTTTTTGTTATTGTATTGATTCTCCTTGATTTTCCTCCTATCATGAAAGCTATACTTCCATGATCTATGCTTTAGGAGCTTAACTGTTCTCCTTCCCTGATTTAGAGCCAGACAAGCTGGCCAGCAACAGGAGGGTGGTCAGTGTGGAAAGAATGAAGCCAATACCCCTTCTCCAAGCACTAACTTTCCCACAGCAGCAAGCTGTAACATCAAACCATAACATAATCACCTACATTATGTAGAAGAAAGTCCCCCAAGACATTCTGATGTTAATGCACAATCTGCTCTAAACACTCGCCAACAGAGCAGGTTTGTTACATTCTTGACAGTCAGACTCCAGCAACAAATTTAGGCACTCTTCACTTAAGTGAACCTTCTGTGAACAAAGTTCCAGTAAATAGTTTGTATCACATAAATCAGCGCAGTGCTGAAGTTTGCTGCTGTAACTCTGAAGTTTGTTGCATTGGTCTGTCACGGTTTATCTTAATAAAATTGCATGGCATGAGAGTTACAACATATAGCTCAGTATATTTCACATTCCATACTAGAGGTGGTCAAGTGAAAAATCTGCCTTAGATCTGAATTGCTATGAAACACTTCTCAAGCACCCAATGCAACTGGTTATCCACCTGCTATCCTAACCCATTTGCAGAAGAAGTTTAGATTAAAAACCAGAGCAGTAACAATGCTTTGATAAAACCTTAGCTGGAATGTGATGGTTGCTCCTTCACATCTTTAGCCCAGTCAACAGATCTGCAATTTTTCTGCAACTTTATCAGACTCACAGACTCACCTCTGAACTGACTTCATTATGTTCAGTGCTAAAGCAACTATATCAAGCATATGCAAACATATATATACAGTCCTCTTGCAAAATGCTAATCATCCCTTTTTATTTATTTAATCTTAAAACACGTGTGTGTACCCTTACTATTCCAATTAGAATTTTATGAAGTCTCTGGAATTTACTGCAGTGGACTGTGTTTCACTCAAAATCTTGAGACCTAAACAGCAGGTATAGTAAGCTTAAATGTAGTCCATGTGTCATTCTAATTCTTCAAAGGAAGTCCATTTGCAGAAATTAAGGCTTGAGTAGAAAAAGAAACAACAATGAATAGTTACTTAAGGTAAAAAAAGCGAAATGAGATCATATACTTAATACACGCAATTTCAGTTCATAAGTGTTACCTTTGCTTTACAGTTTGTGGTCTAGAGCATCACTTGTGCTCTAGCCCATCCCATAACGTGACAATGAGACAAAGATTTTAGGTGAAATCTTATTTTAGGAATGAAATTACTGGACAGAAGGAATGCACAAAAAGTTTCTTGCGGCAAGAAAAAAGCATTGGGGGGGGGGGAGCAGCCAGAAAACCAAAACCCAGCTGTTAGAGCCAAAATATCATTGCAGAAAGCATTTTGAAGTTTTTTCAGAAACGGAAAAAATGGAAAAAAACTAGAGAAAAACAGCACTTAGTCCTTCATCAGTCATATGTGAATTTCAGTGAAAAGCACTTCTTGGAACAAATTAATTTAGGGAATTAAGTTTCACACTGAGGCAAACATAATTTAATTACTAGAAAGTAGAAAGGTTTATTCATGATTTGCAGACAACTAAATGTGTGGTTCTGTTGCCAACTGTTGAGCAGACATCCTCCCAGTTCCCTGGTCCTTCCTGAACCACTCCATCCTTCACACCAACTATAACATTTGATAGCATGTGATACACTTCAGTGACTAAAGCCAGCAGAAAACTATTCTTTTTTACGTAAGATTTTCATCAGGCTACCAAATAAAAACAGCCCCAGAGTAAGACTGATAAGTACTAAACCTAGCGCAAGTAGCAACAACAACTTTATTTTGGAGGTGAGACTTCCCTTAGGAGTTCCCAATGCTCACTCTTGTCTGTTCCCATCCCTCCTTCTGAACCAGCACTAGAACTCACCAAGTCGTCTGCTGAACGTATCTATCTATCTAGAATAGCAGAAAAGTCTTGGCAGAAAACCAGAACAGTTAAGTTACATCGACTTAGAGGGAGCAGCAGAACTGTAACACAGCACAAGAAAGTCAGGACAGAGCAACTTTCTCCCTTTGGCAGCACTAAGTTATTTTATCAGCTCACAAAGCACTGCGTGTCTGTAGTTGTGTTAATGAATAGTTGTGTCTCCAGGCTTCCTGTAGGGCACCAACCACATATTAATATGGTCAAAACCGCAGTCTGGATGTACACAGGTGGGGCAGGCTGAGTTTTCCCACCCTACCTTCGCGAGGGGAGAGGGAACCGCGGCAAACGAACTGGAACGTTCCTCCTGATAAGAGAGTCAGAGGGCACGGGGAGGAAGCCCAGATTCCAACTCTGCAGTTACCCACAGTCAATCACAGTCATTTAGACTGGAAAAGACCTCCAAGATCATCGAGTCCAACCTGCGACCGATCATCACCATGTCAACTAGACCAGAGCACAAAGTGCCACGTCCAGTCGTTTCCTGAACACCTCCAGGGATGGTGACTCCACTCCACCCTCTGGTCTTCCCCTCCTCCTCCACTCCCCCTCCGGACTGTGTGTCCCACCACAGCCGCATCCCCGGGCGCTCGGGGCTCTCCTTCGCTCCGAGCCCAGCAGGATGTGGTGGCGGGAGGCGCGGTCCGGCCTGGCGACCCAGCCGGTGGGAAGCGGGGCCACGGCGTGGCCTTTGCCCCGCGCTCAGCATGAGGCCGCGGACACGCCGGCGAGGCCGCCGGGCCGGGTGGTGCCGCGGAGCCCCCGGGGCAGTCCCTGCGAGCGGCGCCGCAGGGCCCGGCGGCACGGCCGGCAGTGTCCTTGGCGTGCGGGGCGCTGCCTCCGCCGGCCCCGCCGGGCGGCGCGGGGTCTCACCTGTCGGGGCCCGGCGGGCGGGTGGCGGGCGGGCGGCGGAGCGGCAGGAGCGGGGCCGGGAGCAGCGCTGGGAGTCGCGGGCGCAGCGCCCGAAGGCACCCGGCGGAGCTCAGCAGCGCGGCCATGACCGCCCGCAGCACGTGAGCCGCGCGCCGGCGCCGCACCGCCACCGCCCCCACGTGATGGGGCCAACCATTCCCTGCGGGGGGGGCCGCCAGCTCCGGCCCCGGAGTGAGCTCGTTCGGGCACCGGCGCGCCGCCAATTCCCCCCCCCGCGCGGCTGATGGGCCGTCCCAAGAGAGCCCGGGTTGGGCGGCCCGGCAGCCAACCCGGAGCGGCTCCGGCGGGAGGCGGGCGGGCGCGCGCCGGGAGCGCGGGATCCTGGGGGAGGGAGGGGGAAGCAGCGCTGTGGAGCGCCGCCTTTCCCTGCGGGCGCTCCCGGGAGCTCTTCCGTGGGGTTCCGCGGGACGTGCCGTCCCTGCCCGCCTGGCTTTCCCAGCCCAGCTGCCCAAGTGCTGCTCCCCCGGGAGCCCGGCGGTGGCTCGGGGCGCGACAGAGCCGCCGCTCCCGCACTGCCCGTACCGCGTTCCAGGCCCCGCCAAAGCGTGGCCGCTGGCGCGCAGGCGCGCCAAGGAAAATCCCTCGGCCGGTTCCAGCCCATTAGTGGGAAGAAGCAGGTCTTCCACTCGGTGTTGGCCGGCGTGTGCGCCGCGCTCCAGGGAAGCAGTGCTTGGGAAGCAGCGCTTGTCATCCCCTGGGAGTGACTGGCAGAGGGAAGAACCTTAATGAAACCAAATGTAAACAGTAAATCTCTTCCTGAGCTTGCTTATGTTTACTTAGCTGCCACCCGCATCTGAGCTTCGTTTTAGCATCCAGGTCAGAGCTGGTTGCTGTAACGTAAAACATTAAGCAAGGTACTTACAAATTAAGTGCATGTTTTCTTGCAAAACCCATGTCACTAATTTTGCGGTAGCTTGCAAATAATTACTCCAAGGGGCAGGTTGATTTTTATTAAATCAACTACAACCAGCCACTTTCAATTGCGCTTTACTTGAAAAGATTTGTAAAGCCTCATCATCAAGATGCGAAGAGCCCAGTTTAAAAGTTATATATATATACATATGGATACCGGTTTTTGTTATTTAGAAAGTTCTGGATGCTCAACAGTTTATACTATCAAGCCCTAAGTCATGAGTTACAGCTAGTAAGACGATATTTGTGATGTTACTGCTTATGGCTTCTGCTGTATCACAATGTTAATATTTCATGGAATACAGGCTTCAGTTGTAATGAGGAAGAGCAAAACTTTTTAACCCAAGTACAAACCTAATGCTAATTATTACGCTGGATTAGATATGTGATCTCCAAACTTGATTATGGACTAAAGCCCCTGGGAGCTCGCTCTGGTGACACAATAAAAAAAATGTCTGCGTTGCTTACAATAAGGATGAGAAATGGTAAAGTGAAGAACTGGAAGATAAAGAGAAAATGGTTAAATTACACTGGTCAGCATAATAAATAATAAGTTCTCATTTCTAAGACTTCACTGCTGCTGAATCAATAAAGAACACATTAAGAAGTGTTTAGAAAGAAAACAGTGGGACAGATGCTGACCAAGAATTCCTCCAAAGGACATAGAAAACACAAAGGTGCTTGTTTGACAATCCAGCTGGTGGATAACTCGATGTGAAATGAAGGCTGCTCAGAGAGGAGCTACCTTTTCCCTGCCCAGTTGAGAAGTCATAGACATGATTCTGGTTTAGAGGTAAAGACAGCTATTTGCTTGATGTGAAAAGGAAGCGAAGTCCTGGGGAATTAATTCAAAATGTCGTATAGATGAAGCAGTAGAATTAGGAAATTATATTTGCTGAAGTTCTCTGAATGGAGGAAAGAATCTAGATCACGTTTATCAAGATTTCAAAAAGAGGAGAATTTTAATCAGTAAATTGACACATAATGTTTATGGAGTTTTTTCCCCCTCTCTAGGCAGACCACATACTCCAAAAGTCTTGGCCTGATTCACTCTGCACAGGGAATTCCATTAAGAATCCCCGGAAGACTGTCCCTGGAGATAACAATTAATAGTGCCAGGTTCTGTTTCTGGGATCTGGAACTGGTCTCTGGTATTGATTCCTTTCTCTACAATAGTTTCAGCCTATGCCAGACAATTGCCTGACATAGGTTGAGGAATTAGCATCAATCAGCTTGGAACTGTTGCCAGTAGGCAGTTTGGTGATGGCCACACTGTACTGGAGAGGGGGAGGATTTATAAGCCAGAACTCTGGCCAAACTCTTCCAATTGGCTCGCAGGCCACAGGATGGCTCTGGTTATTTAAGGTAATAGATGGGCACTGCCTACCTGCATACTGCCTCTCCTGGAACTTTTAAGTTCTGATAGGGTGTCTGCTTAGTTGCATTGAGAGTTTATTGTAATTCTTAATATTAACTTCTAAAATTTAATTGAAGTGTGTAATGGGAATTTCCAAAGCAAGAGTTAAAATAACGTGGTAGTTAGAGCTTTCTTCACTCACTCTCCCTCTTTCAAATAAACCCCCATATGTATAAAACAGCTAAAGTAGCTTATGCCACAGTTGGCTCTGGAAAATCAGAGAATCCAAAGTTTAAATTATGCTATAAGTGCATCCCCAGGATCTCAGTGTAAAAACTTTTGGAGTAAATGATCCAAGTTGTGTCAAAAAGCCTTGAGAACAGTGAAGGAAACATAAGAGAACATGCAGAAGAGAATCAGCATTGGCCTAGGACTGTTGCCTTTAGGCAGTTTGGATGTGGCTGCTGCATGTCAGGGGGCAAAGTGGTAGCAGGAATCGCAGCTATTTATGTCATATAGGAGGTTTATGAGATGTTAACCTTTGAAGAAGTTGTGGTCTGTGCTTGTAGTGGGGCCTGGGTGAATTCTGGGGGTCCTTTGGGGGTCTCAGAGGTGTCCTCTGCTGGCACTTCTGCTGACTAATGGAGCCATCAAGTACCTATTGGAAAGGTGGGGTTCCTCTCTAGAGATTTCAAGGCAGGATGTTTTAAGATAAGCACAAAGCATGCTGTAGTGCGTAGGTTAGTCTTGCCTCTAACCTCCTGATAGCTTTGCCTGTTCTTCCCATTCCCTAGATTAAGATGGCCTCATCTAGAGGCAGCTCTGTGCAGATGACACCAGTGCAGTAAGACATCCATCTTTCCACTGTCAAGGTAGTGTATGATCTATGTTACACAATGGGGTGAGAGAATATAGTTCCCAGCATTCAGTTATTGACTTAATTTGTCTTGAGAAATGGACTATGAGGAAGGTTTGCCATGGAGAGAATAATTTGGGGCATTTACTTGAGACTCTGGGGGAAGGTAGGCCATGGAATTGAGAAGATGGCAAGGTACTTACATATATGTATTGTTAATATCTCTATTGTTTTTATTTCTGATGACTGATTAAGGATAACCTTAGATTTCAGACAATGTGGTACAGAAGAGGTGCCAGTGTGGAGAATATCCATCCTTAATATATCTTGAGGGAATGTGACAAAGGAACTAAAAAGTGACCTTTTCCTTGTTCTCTAAACCTGACTGGAAGTTTTGGGTGAGGCCTCTTGCCTATTCTCAGGCATGCAGTTCACTCCCGAAAGAGGCGACTCTCAAGGCAGCAAAAGACTGAAGGATAAAGAGGAGTGTGGCTCTCTGTGGTACTCTGTATGTTTATATATAGGTATGGATAAATCTGTATACAGATACTCTCATGACGGCAAAGAAAATCTAATTCTAAATTCATGCTTGCTAAAGTTTTTGTACACTTTTAATATCTCATTTCCGTTTTGTTCTAGGAGAGAGTTGGATCAACTTAAACTACTCACACTCTTGTTATTGGAAACTCACATTTTTCTGTTGAATCTCTAAATATTCCTCAGATCTTGTGAAAACACATATTTCAGGTTCATTTGAAAAGAAAAAAATTTAAAAGCATGACCTGAGAATGTCTGCTGAATTTAGAGAAAAAATAAGTTAAAAGAGTGGGTTTTTTTAAAACCACAGTGTGATTTTTAGAGCCTGAGTTGCTTAATGCTAGCAATGATGTGATTTCCTTGTTTGGGACATTTTCCAGATTCCCAAGTTGCCTCCAGCTACTACTACATCAGTGTCTTTCAGGTCTTGTAGTTTGGCCAGTGTTACATATAGCAAAGCAGGTGCTCCATAAAAAATCTCTAGTTGCAAATAAGGTTGAAGTCAACAAGTTTTTTGAACTAGTCAGGTTTTATTTTGAGAGGATGAAAATGAAGTAAGATATTAAGAGCTACATAAGTGAGGGGGGAGATGGTACAAACATAAATGTTGTTCAGAAGGAAAGTGGAGAAACGTGACACAGAATAGTTTGAGAGAAAGGAAGGAGAAATCCGAGATGGAAGCAACTGAGTAACTCACAAGGTTCCTGTTTTGGATTTGTGCAGGAAACACTATTGATAATACAGGGATGTATTCACTACTGATGAGCAACACTGACACACAGTCAAGGTCTTTTCTGCTCCTCACACTGCCACACCAGCCAGGAGGTTGGGGTTGCCCAAGGAGCTGTGAGGGGACACAGCCAGGACAGCTGACCCCAACTTACCAAAGGGACATTACATACCATATGGTGTCATGCTCAGCAATAAAACTAGGGAGAAGGTTGGCTGAAGGGCCACTGCTCAGGGACTGTCTGGTCAGTTGGTGGTGAACAATTGTTTTAATTTGCATCACTTGTCTTTCGTGGGCTTTATTTCTCTCTTATTTTTTTTTCATTACAATGAACCCCAGGAGTTCCCATGAGTTTTCTCAACCCATGAGTTTTCTCACATTTACCCTTCCAAATCTATTTCCCATACCATGCTGAGGGGAGGGGAAGCTGGCAACTGTATGATGCTTAATTGCTGGCTGAGATTACGCCATGATAAAAAGGGATTGCTGTTCACATTCAGAAACAAGATCAAAGTAAGCACAGCTCATTTTCAGGAAGGTAGTGAGAAGATTCTTTTTTTTTTAGATTTTTTTCTTTTTCCTGGAGTTTTAAGATTACACTTTGTTACTCAGATGCCTTTGGAGGTGTATTGGGTCTAGCTGAGCTCATTTCCCCATAGTAGCCCTCACAGTGCTGTGCTTTGTGTTG